TCCCATGGTTTCTCGTTAACATATGAAGAATTTCGTGATGAATTCATTAAATATGATTACACAATTAAATTCATATTACATTCATCAAATGATGTCAACTACTGGTTCACCAAATATTACATACCGCTTATTAATCATTGACTCATCATGGTGTATATTTGGTGATGAGTCAAGTACTTACCTAGTGCTTTCTGCACTTGTTGTACACAAGAGAGCCCTTGTACGTGTATATCCAATAGTTGAAAGCTATAAGTTGTCAATAAATTGTTCTGCTACCTTGATGAAGTGTATTTACCCAAAGAGTAATGAATGCACAATATACTGAAAATGTAGGCTCACGATGGTCCCGTTGCTACTATATTGGTTTCATCTGCGGGCTCACTCTATTCTGGAGGGGAAACTGATGGAGAAATTGTTTTGTGGGACAGCAAGACTTTCCAGCATCTCCATTTCGCCCAGGTGTGCTGCAACCGCCTCCATACCACTTTAAGGGGATGCTAAGCGCCAGTTGAAAGAAACGGATCAGAGCTGGACCCGGGACATCTCATGGGCCACACACAATTGCACCCTCTCATATTTCACATACGGTGAGTCGAGGAGGTTCATCCAGGCAATGTTTGGCACTTCGAGGACTTGTCGAGGCTTTTCCATCTGACAGGGATGTGGAAGAGCATAAATTCCACTGGGGAAGTGAGCATTTCCACTTGCGATATATCTCGCTCTAAGAAGCTACTGCTGGCCGGAGATGCAGACGGCAGACTCTTCCTCTTTAGGTATGCGACGTAAATCTCACCCTCGAAAGGAAAATTTTGAAGAAAATTTTGTCTGCTTTCAGGTACCCCAGCACAGATCCAAAAGCGAAATACCACACGAAGAAGGCCTATACCGCATATATTTCGAGCGCTCGTTTCATGCAAGATGACAACATCATCGCAGCCGGGGGAACCGATGCTGCCCTTATGCAATGGAGGCTGGCGTGAAGAGTTCCATGGAATGGGCGCTCTGGTGCAATGAATGCCGTGGTGTAACTTAGTGAGTTAGTGTGCTGAGTGGTGTGAATTTGAGACCCTTATGGATGGGTCGCGTGTTGTGCCTGGTTTGCAGAAAAACCAATCATGATGACACATGTCTATGTATTGATAATTAGACGAGAAATATAAAATTTAATTTCAGTTTACTAGTCGATTTCTTGCTTGGAGCTGGTGCGTCGAGCTTTTTCCTTTCCCCCATTGATAAGGGAAATGCCCGCATATGAACATATAGCCTTCGAGAGCGTGCATTTTACAAAGCAGAACTGTTTCTCTTCAAATATGAATCAGCTGCGAGCATTTATAGAAACTTATTTTTAAGACCTTCCACAGTACCGAATTTTTCAAATTGTTCAGATCTGCGAAGGTACGTAAAAGACAACGAGAATACGTTTTTATGACGCCGCTCTCCACATTGTGCACGTGGTTTCATGAAAACGCAAGGAATTTGTAACTAAAACCCCAAATAACAGCAGTTTTCCTTGTGCTATTGTGTCCGCACCTGCCTGGTAGGCTTTGGTAGGCTTTGGCGCGTGCCCGATCATGCTTCGGATTAGAGCTACCTACTCCATTTCCTGATATTGATACGGGAAAATAGTCTGGTCGTAAATAAAGGATTTCATTGTCGGAAACATGAAATCTTCACACCATTTCCAAATGATGTGAATATTTCCTTCTCGTATTTTGAAAGGTAATCCACCTTCAGTGATGTCTTCAATTCTAGTGTGGAAATGAGAAAAAGTTCCACCGTCTTGGAGCTTCTTGGGCATTTGAGTGGTACTTAAGGTTCTGGGGAAAAAAAGGCCTTTTTAAAAATAAAACTCGTCAGGCTACGTTAACATACACATTAAAATCAGTTTAGGGGTGGAAGATTGCACGAATTGGAATTTCCTTTTATCAAGTGACCTTTTCGCCCGGTCAGACTGCACTGAATATTTTCAAAAGGACTAATTGAAGCGATTCTTTAAAATTTGTTTTTATTGTACTTAATGATAACTTGTTTCCATCTTGGAGTTCCGTGCTTTGCCAAGCACGAGCATGTCAAGGCCGACAACCCTTGATTTGCACGCGACCACTCTCGACCCCATGCCTGACTTCATCTCAGGCATGGTGGTACATGTGATCGTAGTGGGGTCTTTCCCCCATTTTTCGTGTCTCGTCCTTTCGTAGACCGAAGGGCCTCACACAGAGGCAAGGCGTTCCAAAGACTGAGATCCGTCTTTTTTTTTGAAGATCCGTGTCTCTCTGAATGGTCTTTGGCCTATTCGCACTGCGCTTTGGTTACTTCTGAGTTATCGGGCTGAAGCATTTAGTGCAGAATAGTGAAGGGGGAGGTATTGGCATATGTAACACCCAGATCTGTTTCATCTGCCTGTTCCAGTCATTGTAAGATAATTGTATTCCGTTATTGAATACTGATTGAGTGGAATAGCATGATATTCCGTGTTCCCTTGAATGGCACTTGCTTCAGGGAAGTGGATGTAAGTGTGATTTTTCAACAAAAAAGTAGATGTGAATAGGAAACGCATGAACTTCTATGCATACAAAAGAATATTGCGAATTGTACTCTTGGGAATTGCAAGCATAAACCATTTGGATTTCCGGCCCGCGGCCACAACAAGATTTCCTCGACGATCGCACTTCCCACGTTAAATGTTTTTGATCACTCAGAATGGAATAAAACATGTTTTCAAGAGCTAACCGCATCATAGCCGCCGAAAAAGGTCAATTGTCAGTCTCAATTTGCTATCAACATTTCGCACATTACATATTTCGCGTTTCGGCCATTTCCGTAATTGAATCCAACTTTGCTATTTTCAAAAGCTGCTGGGAGCACAACCGTTCGAACGGAGAGGCTCCGAGCGCGACAACTTCTCTGCATGTCTGAGTTATTAATGTTAACCTGGTTGATTGGTCACATTCACCTGTTGATCGTATGGAGGTCCTGGGCATATCAGTTTCGGTGAATGTCGGGTTTCATCCTCGATGCATGCTCACTCCATGTTTCTATTTTTGCAACGCGCTGTGATTGCCCTAAATGTGAGTCAATATGTCACCACCCTATTTGATTCCTTGAATATGGCATTTAGCCCTACCCCCGTGGGATTGGATTGTGTTTATATCCTTGGGACACCTTTTGCTGGCACACCTTCGTAGTAGCCTTCAACACAATCCCAATTCCTGAACCCAAACTACTTCTTTGGTGTGTCCGCGCATCGAAGCTGGTGACAAGGAGTTGCTGTAGCTGTCGCAGAGATCGCACAGAGTCGATACGATGATTCTGCGACCGCTCTTTTCATTTGGGGAATAAGTTCTGACTGATTGCCTGTGCTTAAGTTCACTTGTTCATCTCAAAGTAAAAACTGCTTCTCGCTCGAATTTTACGGTTCCCGGCTGTTTAAAACGTATGTTTATTGATGCTTGCATCTCAGCCGTTTTCTACTTCCTACTAATGTATGGAAATACTCTGAAACAGGAAAAGGCTTAAAAATCCAAAGCACACTCGCCAATACCCAAGGTCACTCCATGCTTGAAAGCTGCACTCGTATAGGTTCCGCAATGTACAGCAATATGAAACAAAACACCCTGCAATGTTCAAATCGAAATGATCGGTTGGGCCAAACACCAGGAGAAAAACCGTGTACGCGCCAGAAACAAAAAATATAAGAAAAAACCATTTCATGCTCTGCATGGTACAAAAAAATCCGAATAGTATACTACATCTATTTTCATGCAGTTGCTAACCTTAATTAAGGATAGCAACTGTCCTTAATTAAGGACAGCAACTGTCCTTAATTACTTGTCCTTAACCAAGTACGCTGATTTGAATGTCCGAGTCCATTAATCTTATGAGGTGGTCTCAGTTATGCCACCTTGACATGTTTGTCCTGTGTCTGTTTTTGCTCCCATTTCTTCCGTTTTCCTTACTCAGCTGAATCAGGAGCGTAAATGTTGAGGTTCATAGAGTGGAAATTGTGATCCTCATCTGTGGTACACCCTTAAAAGTTGACTTACATTGAACTAATTATTTTGAAATCACAAGGCTGATTCGTCTTCTAAACTTTTTTTCGCTCCTAATCCCCCGCCTCCCTCCCAAATGATGACCAGAACACAAAGGAAATAAACTTGAATTTTGAGTATTGAAGTCTAAAGAGGCAAGGTCAGGTGATGGAGTGACATGATGGAACGGCATAGTGCAATCTAGCAGATTTCTTGATGACCTTCAGCGTTGTACTGGGCATTCCACGATAGATAAGACATCCCATTCAGTTCGATGCGTGGACGATGCGATGGGAAAAGTATGGATTATGGGAATAGGGATTAGGTGAAGAAATTCAGCATTTCCTCCGAGTGTCAGTCTACAGTTTTCCTGCAGTTATTGTGGCGTTACTACTTATTTTTGCATTAGCCCCTGTGCCGCTGGAGATATCCCTTGGAAAGCTTAGGTCCCGTATATAAATTCGGTGGTGATCAATGACCGATCGACCTCATCGTTGTATTATTTATGCGGGGTATATTACTGCCGTCATGGTCCATGTCGATTCAAGGTCGCAAACACGACGGACATCAGCCTTTCGAGCAATGCATGAATATTTCATCGAAAGCCGCGGAGCTAATTTATCAGAGAGATTGCTATATGCTTCTTCCGAAGACCGCTGATCACCTTCCTATTCATCTCTGACCCTCCTTTAATATTCAGGTGACAATCCATGGAATCGACAAAGGCCGTGTCTTGTGAGTGCCAATGAATCTAACGGGTTTATTGATCGAAAACGCCATCTGTGGGCGATTTTTTTTCCGAATGGCAGGGAAGACACGCAAGGCAAATGAAATCACCTTGGAAACTGAATGCATACGCGTTAGACGACCGATCGGAATCACCTCGCATGTCATTGTGGAATGCATTGTGAAGTGGCAGGAGTGAAAGAGCGTTCTCATTATTTGTATGTGAAACCGTAGGCATCGTGAACGATGCGTAAGGGAGAGATCGGCAACATTCGGTCTCAGAAGTCTTTCCTCCAGCCGGTGAACGCACCCTCTTTCAAGGGAGGGAAATCGACGAGTCCGATTTCCGAGATTTCAACCAGGCACAATGGATTCCGATCTCCAAGGAACGGGCACTCGGAGATTGAATATGACAAGAGCGATGAGGAAGACTATCAACGTCCCAATTACGAAGTAGGAAAACCGAGAAAATTAGCTGTGGAAGACGACGAAGACTACATCAAAACCAGGGCCCCTACTCGAGCCGGTTTTTACCCAGAAACGCGACGAAATTCCTCAGCCGGAATTGGGAACCGAAGGGGGAAGATTTCCAAGGGGGATCAAAATCTATTCAGGTCCTCCAGCTACGACCCTATCAAACTCAGACGCTCGCAAAATCCAAGGAAAGTGAAGGTCGTCACCTTCTACAAGAACGGGGACTCGAACTTCATGGGCTTCCAGTTCTGGCTCCGGCCGGGCCGAGACGCGAGGAACCTGGATGTTCTGTGCAGGCAACTGTCGGCGCGGATCCCAGGCCTCCCATTGGGAGTGAGGTACATTTTCAACATGGACGGGGATGTTATTCGAAGACTAGAAGAAATCCAAGATGGGGGAACCTACGTCTGCTCGTCGGATGGAAATTTTAAGGTGCGATTTTGCGAATAACGTGGACTGAGGGAAAGTATTGCGCGTTAAAGCATCGGCGTTCTTTGTACATTTAGATCATTTAATATATGTTTTCCTGCTGAAGAAAGGGAAGTCTTGGGGGGGGGATGTCAGGTTACTTCATTTCATGTTAATTGACGCTTTTCGCATTAAAGGAGCAGGTATACGGAATGAAACTGCTGTCCTCCTGGCGGAAGGTGGCCAAGTCACGGCCCAAAACGGTCAAACGCTATCAGGCATTCACTCCCGCTGTCCTTACACCCATCCACCCTGATGGCCATACATCCATCCACTCCGATGGCCATTCCCCCTTCCAACCCGATGACCATTCCCCCTTCCCCGCCTTCAACCCCAACAGAAAGAAACGGGACTCCCGAGGTGGCAAGCGGATTTGGGTCGTCAACATCGACGACCACGACTCCAAGGTGAATCATTTTTCTGAGTGACTTGTAATTGGCTGTGAGCGTGTTGTTCAAATAGCCAAAACGGCCAAGGGAAATCTGCCGAATTTTGCAGGGCGATTGCCTGTTGAGCAAGAAGATGGAGAGCTTCGAAGATGTCCTGAAAATTCTCGGTCACGTACTCAAGATGCGCAAGGTCAAGGCCATGTACACCCTCAACGGCGAAGAGGTTCGCAACAATTAAATAACGAGGTTCACTGAATGATTTCATCATTCGGCATAATTTATCAATTCACATTATCAATCGTTCTGTTATTCCATGCATTATAGTCTAGTATTACATCACTATATACTGTACATTCTCAATTTTCATTTTGCTGTCCATTCACAACTGTCTTACCATCGCCTACTTAACCCATTGCGCTGGGAACAGGTGAGGAGCCTCTCTCAACTGAGCCATTACTATGACAACACCGAGCAAGACACCTTCTTCCTGGAAGAAGCGAAAGATTCCTCTCTTGGGTCAATGAAGCAGAGAAATCGCAGTTTCGACAGGGACTCTAATCCTTCCCCCTCCCTCCCTTCAAGCAAGGGAACCACAGGTATGCAAGGAAAGAACCAACTAATACCTTAGTTGGCTCATGAAACCAGATGGCTAATGAACAAATATGGCTCATTAATCTTTCATTTAAAAGTTTTCTTGGAAGCTTCGTCGTTTCAGTGTTTTGGCATGTCTCTTTTTTGTCATGACTTGTTCCCAGACGTCCAAGCTTGGAGGAAAGACGCAGTGACGGTGACGATTCGAGGCCAGGACCATGTCATCGCGAAGCCCTCGCATGTCCCGCCCTCTAATGCATCGGCCCCTGAAAAGCAACTTCGTCTCGACTGGGTGTATCCTTTTCGCGCAGATGCCTATTTCCAGACTTTCAAGTTGGAAGTTAATGTGTAATGTTACTTATTTAAATTCATGAAACTATTATAGCAGTATGAAATTATAATGATCAATATATAATGTTATTTGTTTAAAAACAATATGTAATTTCTATATATATTTTAATTTAAATTATTTATTGTGGCAATTTCCTTGATGGAGCTATTATGAAGATATGGATTCCAAGGCGCCGACACTAAGCGGAATCTGTGGGTCCTGCCGACGGGGGAACTCCTTTACTTCGTGGCGACGGTGGTGGTCATGTACGACGTGCAACGGCGCGACAGGCACGACGACAAGCAGCGCCACTACACGGAGCACACCGAAGACGTCACCTGGTGAGGCCTGTGTCCGATCCTAATGCTTCTTGAATTTTCTCCATTCTTGTGAACGATTGGGCGAGCAGAATTTAGTGAAAATATCCATTTCAAGATTTTGTAATTCCTGAAGAAATTCATTAAAAGAGGAACAGTCCTCGCAAACGATGGCTCATTTGCGCTGTCAAGCACTCAATTCTGTCGTGCTCGTAAATGTTCTTCATCCACTACAATACCAGTACAATGACAACGGTTGGGTGGTTCTTGAGGCCATCACAGGAGTCGCCACAGGGGGCGTTCTTTCGAGGAGCATGGTGAGAAGGAGGCGCCGAAGTAAGTAGATCTATGACGAACTTCATCGGGAAATGTGCCTTTGAGGAACTTCGCTAAACAAGAAGTGAAGCTAGCGTTTCTGGAAACTTTGCTCTAACGTGATGGAAATAAGTTTTTACATGTCATTGCCCGATGCAAGTTCTACAATCAACTAGAAGGATTCAAATGGAACGGGGACAATGGATGCTGGGATTATTACTACTTCCTCACATTCGCACTTGCCCACTTCGCATTTTCGTCGCATTTCAACACTTCCTGAAGGAGAGCGGCAACGCAGCCGTTGATTTTCCAGTCGTTCTCAGACTCCCTAACCTCGCCGACTCGCGTGGTTTCGAACTGTCGCCGTCGAGATTCGTAAATGCGTTTTACCCGACAAGCCATCGAGAAGACTTCAGGAAATGGTTTCTTTTTCATTATTTTCCCTTCGTTGACCTTTTCTCAATTCTAGGTCTAGATGATGACCCTATTTTGTTTCTCCCCTGAAGGCATCCTTAAGAATATAAAATTCCATAACTGCCAGTCGACTTCATTTTTTTTTCAATTTTTAATTCCTTTTAAAAAGCCTATTTCGGGTATTTGGTTGTTTTTTTTCCGTTCTCTTTTAACCTGCAGATTTTATACAGGCTCTTTTTACTCTAATTTGACGGATTTCTGCACTGTCAATATTTTCTGATGTACTTGTGACATCTATGAGGAAGAATAGCACCCTAGTTTCCGATTTTACTCAAAAGACAGTACGCAACGGACATTTCTCAAGAAGCCACGAAGCCACGTGAAATAGCTCCAGCTGCTAGGTCAGCATTCGATTTCAAGAGAAGTTCTTGATGCTGTAGCATCTTCCTCCGGTTTTTTTTTTCTCAATGGGGTCTCACCGTGTAAATGCTGAGTTTTTTGTGGGGAAACGAGAATCATCCTGCGTGGGGCTCCGCATTTCCCCACTTAATGTTTGGGGGCTGGTGATGACAACTGAGAAGGTGAAAAAATGCGAAAGGGCCCCTCTGGATCCCATTGCAAATGTGGCAGTACCTGTGCTTTGTTATTTCTTTCGCATTTCGGCAGATGTATCTGCTGTCTTTATCGTACGACATCTACTCTTCGATTTAGAAATCACGTCTTCCAGTGTTGCCGCTCTCAGTCGCAGTGGGGAAGTGCTAATGCCTCAGGTCAAGTGGCAAAATGCGAATGTGGGCAAAAGCGAAGCACCCGGATGCTGCTCATAACCTTAGGGTAGTCTAAGGGGAGCCTAAGGTAGGAGACTAGAAGTTCCATTTTCATTTGAACGCTCATAGTAAATTCTCAAATTCGTTTTTGTAACTTAAACTGCCGCGATTGGCAGTGACACAAAGTGGCAAAGGCGGATTGGTTGATATTGCAATCTTCCAGCCTGGCGGTGCATCCGGGGAACGAGCTGGCCGCATCCGGACAGAAGGAGGGGTGGACGCAGGACGGGAAGGACCCCGGCCCCCACATCCGGATCTGGTCCCTGGCCACGCTGACCACCCTGCGGACGCTGACCGCCCGGAAAACCTTCAGCGACTCGGTCTGGATCGGCGTGGGCGCCCTCGCCTTCTCCGCTCAGGTCCGTTTCCGGCGTCTCAGGCGGCGAATGCCGCATTTGCCAGCGACCGACCTTTCTTGTGCAATTCAGGACGGAGGGAAGCACTTGGCGGGGGTGATGGCGGGGGAAGTGCAGGAACTCCTCGTCTGGGACTGGAACGTGAAACCGAAGGAAGCAGTCGCCAGGGCACAGGTTAAGATTCCATTTACTTCAACGAGAAATTAAACCCACGGACCCCCTGCGTCAAGCTTATAAATACGTTTTAGTTACCCCCTGTAGTTAACTGATATTTATTGTTTCAATTAGTCCAATTTGAATGCTTGCAAGGATTTTGTTTCAATTAATTTTTTTTCCATGGGACCACTTCCCGGAAAATCAATGAATTAATCCATCGATCATTATTGATTTAACCCGGACCCTGCCATTTCAGGCGGACCAGGGCGACATCCTCGGAGTGGCCTTCCACCCGGCGGAGGACCTGCTCATCTCGCACGGAAACGCCTTGTCAGCGTGGATGGAGCGCGGATCCGCCATGCTCGAAAGGGACGATCTCGTGGAAGAGGTGAGCCGAATCGATTTTAAAACTTACACTTTTTTTTTATTATTCTAACAGCAGTACGATAATCGAATGCATATTTGCGTTTTGAAGGCATGCAAAACTTACAGAGGATTTAAGAAATCATCTATTAAATATACCATATAAATAATTTAAATATTTCTTGTCAGTTGATAGAAACGTAGAAATGGAACAGCCTCAGTAAAGTTTGCCTCGACCTATGAAAAGGATCGAACAGTATTCCCAACTCAATTATAAATATTCTCATGCTCGAAAGACTCGGTAGAATATATTATACGATCGTACGTTGATATTAAATTCAAATGGCGATTTAAAATTATACCTGAACATGGAACCCCAAGGATCATGTTTTAAGAATGAGAAAATCAAAAACCATATTGGAACTCAAAATTTTTTGTAATTACCTCAAAACCGAATTTTACGCTTGAATTGCAGTACTCTGCAGTCGACTTTCATATTGTGCCACACTACGATTTGAAAGATGACAAGAAATATGTATATATTAAGTTGCGTGGTGGTGTGGTGGAATGGGATTCGGATGAGAATTTGCAAGGAGCACGCTACCATCGACCAGATCCGAAAGAGTATGAGGGTTGATTACGGGTGCACTCATCACGCAGGTTTCATGCATTAATGAATTGTGTTATTACTCATTCATGTGGGAGAAGGAGATGCCAGATTACCAGTTTATCGTGTGCGTGGTCATTCCCCTCGTCCACGAACAGCGGGCATGCTCATAGGAGAAATGCATAACATATGAGGCGGGAGGAATAGAATAGAGATAGGGATACATATGCGCGTATGTACAAGCTCGAAAGTCATTTCCAGGCTCGAAAACGGAATTATCTCCCACCGTCTCATCAGTATTGGTTGCCATCTCATCCATATTGGTTACCATGCCATCCATATCGGTTACCATCTCATCCATATTCGTTGCCATCTCATCCATGTTCTCTTAGTTGTTCCACGTGAAACGCCCAAAGTGTTAGCTAAGGATGTGCATGTCTGGCTGGAGCTGCCACTCTAATTCATAGAGCAAAACCGCTAGGGCATTATATCCGATGGTATTGGTAGCATGTATTTCCCATTGCTTCTCGGTTTTTTATCTTTGTTTTGTGCCCGTGACTTCCCTCGCGAGTCGTTCTTGTTCTCGTTAGGGAACCTATGGAAACCGGTCACGGTCCTATCTCGGCCCCTCATTTCTTTGTTTCTGAGGTTACGGATCGATGGATACTTATTTCCCTCATTATCTTGACCAGTTCTATCAGCTGAGATTGCTCTTGTCCCTAAATAGAGATCGCCTGCCGTAACATGTATGGAATTCCTGTCGTCTACGAAGATGTTGACCGGGCATCTTGACGGAGCAATCAAAGTGTGGTATTTCAACCGTCACAATAAGTATTCTGCTGAAGCTCAATTCCAGGTCAGTGTTCCCTTCTCATCCGCAGATGAAACGAACAGAGAGATAGTCAGTAGTGGTTATTGAATTTTTACGAGACTGCGATTTTTCTCTTAGCATTTAAGCTTGACATTTTCTCCAGTTCGATGTCAGGCCACGGCATTATATTCGATTACTATGAAGTTGAACCTAAGATGAAGAACTTCGTAATAGCGCACTCGGAGAGGGGAATAGGCATGACAATTTAAAGAAACAAATATTTTGAATTCCTGCCCGAATTCCTCATGCTGAAAACAGTACACGTGATCTAAATATAATTCACCCTCTTGAATCTCTTAGCCCATAGCAGCCGACAATATTTGTTTTTCTCTCAGGATGTTTGCAGTTACTGTACTGAGTCAGAAATCATGTATATTCATCCATTATTCTCACGATGCAGGCTCACGAAGGTCCTGTGAGTACACTTCTGTTTTCACCCATTGGCTCACTGTATTCTGGAGGGGAAGAAGACCGAAGAGTTGTTTCATGGGACAGCGATACATTCCAACAACTCGAAGCCGTCAAGGTGCTCCGCAATTTCCTTTCCTCGTAATTTTAATAAACTGCTGCCACCGAAAGGAATGTTCCGCTCATGCAGTTGCCGGAGATAGTCGGAGGGGTGCGAGCGATCCAAGCAGGTAGAAGCAGAGTGGGGTCGCACGAGGAGCTGTTTGTGGGAACGACCAAGAACCTGGTTCTCCAAGGAACACTCGAGACCACATTCCAGCCGGTGGTGTTCGGCCACGCGAGCCAACTGTGGGCCCTGGCCGTGCATCCCAGCCAGCCTGTCTTCGCCACCGCTGGCTACGACCGCAACATCGTCAAGTGGAGGGCGCACGAGCCCGAGTGGAGGGTTCAGGCGAGTTTCTCATCGCAAAACTGCTTAGCATCCTCGTTCGTCAAATGTTAATTTTTACATGTGTTCCCTAGGTTCATTCTGAGTGTTCGTGCGCGGCGTGGAACGAGGACGGGAGCCTCTTGGCTGTGGGTTCCATCACGGGCCACGTCACTGTCCTACGAGGAGAGGACGGGAGACTTGTCGATACGTTCGTTGGCGGAGGTTCTCATGTCACTTGTGCCAGCTTTTCCCCCGGTCAGAGCTACCTTTAAAAGCCGCTATTCAAAATTCACCTAATCATAACTTTTTCTCACGGCCTGCATGAAGAGCATTTTCCTTTGCGGCAGATGGAAGTCAGCTGAGCCTGGGCGTCGGGACGGGGAACGTGTACATTTACAGAGTGGACAGGGCTGGAAATGCCTTTCGGCGAGGGACCGTCCTCAACGTGTTAAAGGAATCTTTAACATGGGAACAGAGTCTTCCATGTCTTGCAAGATAGCTACCGTGTTTGCAGTGAGGGAAAAAATTATCAAAGCTTCCGAAACAAAGACGGACACCAGAGCACATTGTACTGCTGAGACTAAGAGTACCATGCAAGTCAGGCTCAGGTTACCCTATTGAAGAAAAACTTACAAACAGTCACGACATCATCTTGGGACTGAGTCCTGATGTACCGAGAATCAGTCGACCAATCCAAACGTTCAGGGTTCAGAGACACATTGAGGACGGTCCCTCGCCGAAAGGCATTTCCAGCCCTGTCCACTCTGTAAATGTACACGTTCCCCGTCCCGACGCCCAGGCTCAGCTGACTTCCATCTGCCGCAAAGGAAAATGCTCTTCATGCAGGCCGTGAGAAAAAGTTATGATTAGGTGAATTTTGAATAGCGGCTTTTAAAGGTAGCTCTGACCGGGGGAAAAGCTGGCACAAGTGACATGAGAACCTCCGCCAACGAACGTATCGACAAGTCTCCCGTCCTCTCCTCGTAGGACAGTGACGTGGCCCGTGATGGAACCCACAGCCAAGAGGCTCCCGTCCTCGTTCCACGCCGCGCACGAACACTCAGAATGAACCTAGGGAACACATGTAAAAATTAACATTTGACGAACGAGGATGCTAAGCAGTTTTGCGATGAGAAACTCGCCTGAACCCTCCACTCGGGCTCGTGCGCCCTCCACTTGACGATGTTGCG